AAAAAAAAAAAAAAAAAAGTATTCCGAGAAAATGGTTCTTTCAGTTATATTGAATTCTGGACGAATGAATAATCAAAGGAAGAAAATTGTACCCCTACCACTTGTATAAAATATTCTCAATTTTAATTTCAGAAAATAATACGAAAAAAATCAAATGAATTAAATATAACAAGTTATTAAAACAATTATGTGTTGTCACATGGGCTGCTGGGCCACAATACAAAAAAGGATATCATTTGAGTGGTGGCTCCTCACCACTAGATATTGATCTATTTTATAGTCTATACATATATGTTAAATATTTATTATTAGTAAAAAGTTCTTATCGCTGGTCACTTTCCATATATATCAAATCCAAGTCAAATTTAATCTAATTTAATTTTTTTATTTTTATTATTATTATTTTTTTTTCAATATAGACATTTTGGGTGGACAAATATACCAACAAGAGATGTTACATGTTGAGTGCAAAAGAGCTTTCAATCACGTGGGCCACCAATCCCCTGTGCTGGTGCTGGAAACCCACCCACCACCTGTAATCACCAAAACAATCTTTTTTTTTTCCCTCTTAAATCTCATTTCAAATTATTGTGATTAAAATTCATTTTGTTTATTCGCGAAATCTTTGTCCAGGTTCCCGGAGGCGATCGAGCTCATATCGGTGTGTAGGCTCGAGATAATCGGAAAATTCAACACAAGTATGCTGTCCCCAAACACGATCTATGGGGCGTACCTCGTTGTTCAGCTGACCGGCCGTGCTTTCGGGCTGACGGCCTCGCCTTTCGAAGTCTCGGTCCAAGTTGGGGACTACAAAACGAGCGCAAGGTTTTACCTGAAGAGCCACGACGAGTGCAAGAGGCAGGGGTCTGACGTGTCGCCGGCACACGGGGAAGAGCGGGCCCTCAGCCCACGTGGCGACGGCTGGTCGGAGATAGAATTGGGGGAGTTCTACTGTGGTGGGGCGCATAGAGAGGTGAAGATGGAGTTTAAGGAGGTGAAGAGCGAGCACCTCAAGGGAGGGCTTCTTGTGGAGGGCATTGAGCTAAGGCCAAAGCATCTCTGAAGTAAATAAATTAAAATTATAAATAATGGGTAATTAATATCAGTCCTTGCGCCGCCGTGTGTATTAAAATGAACGGCGCAGACGGTCCTTAGGGGCGGTTTAGACTTTTTGATAGAGCCCGGCACATGAACCGAACTCAAATAGGAACTCATGAATCTGATAAAATTAATTACCAAATGGGTGAAATTGAGAGGAGTTCGGATTGGGGGATGACATAGCTAAAGGGGGTTCATTTGTGGTCAATGAAGTCTATTCAGCATGAGGATGTGTGATTTGTTCTATGTTGTGCTGGTTTAAGGTTTTTGGCTGGGTCTGTTATGTTGTCTGATTTTCTTGTTTTTGTTTTGGTGATCAGTTTGGCCGGTTTTTTTGGCTAATCGGTTATTTGATCAGTTGGTTGGTGGATAACAACGACTTTGTTATAATAATAAGATATTTGCTTAGATTTTTATTTTTTTTTTTCTGTCTCCTTCTCACTGTTCATCATATTTTTCCTCCACATATTAGTTGGCCTCTTTTTTGGCTGGGGAGGTATTTTTTTTATTTTTTTTTTTTTTTCTGTTTTGTACTGAGGTATCCCTTTATTAATTGCTAAGCGATGATGGTTGATTTAGAGCATATCCAACCGATGCCAAAAACGCAAACGCAAACTCAAATTTGCTCCAATCGATCGCTAAACGCAAACCCAAAATGGGTATTTGGTGTGTTTGTCCCTGCTACAAACGCAAATTTGCGTTTTTACTGTTCATGAACGCAAAATGTTTTGTGTATATGCAGTTTAGTCCTTTTACTTATTTTATCTTCATTTTGTGTTATGTATATTTTGTTTATTTGTTTATTTGTGTTATGTAATGAAAATGATACGAGACTATATATATGTCTGTTTAGATATTCCTTAATATTTATACGTGAATTAAAGTCAATTTAAATAATATATTTTTTAAAGTAATAATTATCATATATTTATCCTTAATTTTATGTATGTCAAGATATTAGTATATATGTATATTTAATTTTTCGATTAGCACTACAAGATTAACATTAAAGACTATAATAAATCACGGTTTACATATTGAAATATTGAAAAACATTACGAATACATATTGAAATAACACTAGTACATGATAGATCACGGTTTAGGAAAAACATTTCAATAATTAGTGAATTGCAATTTTTAATTTTATTTGTGTGCTGAAATTTTAATTTTTAGTGAATACTTATTTCTCCGATTTTATTTTGTATAATTAATTTTAATTACATAAAGCCCAAATTGAATTTAAAATAATAGTGTGGTTCAATTTGTAAAGTTATAAAATATGTGGGTAGTATTGAAAAGTTATAAAAGTTGATGTAAAAGAGAATATTTTGAGAATATTCTTTTGGGTTTGAGAATGAGTTTTTCGGTTGGAGATGAATTACTGCAAAATGGGACAATTACTGCAAAATGGGTTTGAGTATGAGTTTTTCGGTTGGAGATGGTCTTAGGATCTATATTGATCAAGACGAGACCGCCATTGCGTATTTGAATAGATATGATCGGCTCCTGGTTTAGTCTTCTTATTTATCACTATTATTAGTACTATTTTATTTCCTTTATTTAGTAAACTCATTAAGAAAATAAATAAATGGCAGTAGCCTGATAGTATTAGGATTCCTTATTGTTCTTTTTTTTTTTGGTACAGGGACCTTCCGGTTTCTGGATCCACAGGAGAACCGACTAATCCGGAATCGAGCCGGGTAGGACCACAAGGGCGGCAAAGCTCTCCCTCAAGAGTTTTAACACTGCTGCATTCCCAGGGCTCGAACACGAGACCACTGGTTAAGCTGGAAGAGACTCAAGCCATCTCATCCAAACGCTCTTGAGTTTGCTCTTTTCTTATTTATATGTTTTCGCGTACGATGTAAAAGGGGTAGATTATGATTGAAATGAAAAACTGAATGCTCATTTTAACGAGAGAGTATCTCATTTTCTTCCCCATTCGTATATAGCTCTACATCACATATATATGCTCCAACTTCCTCCAAATCGCAACCTTACTGTAGCAAAAAAAACTAACCCGTCGCACGCCTCATCGCCGCCGGCCTCCTCTTCTGCCAGGGGTTTCAATCTGCCTCGGGGGCCTAAGGCAGCAGGGCAATCCCTTCCCTATCTGTCTTGTCTTGATTCTTTGCTGGTGCCAGGGTTCTTCTTCTTCCCGATGTCTGTTGCGGGAATGCTTCGAGATTCTAACAAGTCATTGCATCTATGTCCCTTTCCTTTAAAAGTCCTCTTAGTCATTTTCCCTTCTAGGCAAGATTCACAAATCGAAAAGGGCATCGACTTCTAACGACCCCAAGGGCTCGTCTGCCACTAACCTTTTAATTCTCTTCAAGTTTATATGACCAAGTTTTGGATGTCAAAGATATGTTTCATTCATTTTTTAAGGTTCTTTTCTATCTTATTCAGATTAGATGATGAATTAAGTAATTGTTTGTGATTTTGTGAGTACCTGAGCAAATTTTCCACGAACTTGTTTATATCCATCTCTATGCTTATATTCTAAGTTGTTTGGAGACAAACAACAATTTAAGTTTGGAAAGATTTTATAGGTCGAAAAATGTGCACGTTTTATATATTTCATAGTGTATTTTTATCCACTTGATTTATTTGCACATTTATAGTTTTCGACTTATTTATTACTTAGATGAATTCGTATACGTTGATATTTTTATATTTATTTTCAGTATATTGAGTATTTTTGTGGATGGCAAAACTGTTGTTGAGAGATCAGGTAATTATCTCATTATCGGGGTGCTCGAATATTGGATCGATTAAGGCCCATTAATTCTATTGGTAACAAATAAAAAAGAAAAAAAAAAGAAAAAAAGAAACAGACAAGGAGAAAGGAGCAACACACATCTCGATAAAATTCTTGATTTTGTTGGTTCACTTATAGTGGGCCAATAATTAGCAGAAATCAAAAGAGTAGGCCGCACACTTTGAGACTTTTATTTTTTGAGACTTTTAATTTTGGGGAGGATTAATTTGTTTTGGCTGGGACTCTTAGATAGGGAGGAGATTTATTTTTTTAAAATGTTACAAGTACATATTAATTGCACATAGGCAAGGAAACAAGCTAGGAAAACAATTGAAATGCTCTCACATCTCTTTAACTTTCTCTCTCTAGAGCCTTCACCCTCTCCCTCCCAATCACTCACCTCATCCTCTTTCTTTCCAGTCATCTCTATCAGTTAGTCTCTGCCGGCGCCCGTCGTCTCCGGCGGCGAGCCGCCCGACCCCGGGGGGCCTAGCCTGTCTTTCTCTCACCCGTCTTTTCACCTTCTCTCACTCCAATTTTCCATGGCCACCGCTCTGAGCTCCCAGTCCCAGCACCAGACCCATCGTCACCCACATCTGGTTCTCAGCTGAAATTCTCCAGCGACTTCCATGGTAAATTTACCTCTTAAACTAACAACCTCAAAAAGGTTATCAGATCTGCCGTACACTCATCTGTTCAAACGACCGACATACTCCACTTTCCCCGAAAAAGTCGTCCAACGGTCCATGGTAGTCCCCGTCCCGTCGCCTCATCGCCTCCTGATGGGTCGCCTTTGATTGTTATAGCGCCGCCATTCATGGCGGTCACCTTCCCGTCAGGCCCCATCCCACCTTCTCACTCCGGCATCCCAGCTGACCAAGCGACCGGTAACCCTTGGCCGGTTCAATTTGGCTCACTTCTGGTGAGAACCCTCCCTTCGCCGTTAACTTCTCTATCTATCGCGACGCCAGATATCCCCCTCCTCTCAAACCATAACATTATCCATAAGACACCATATTTCCCCTCAGCTCACAATGCGGACCAACATATTGGGCCTCTTCCAAGGCCCAATTCTGAATCTTCTCTTTCTCTCTGTGGGCCAAGAGCCTCGGCCCATTCTTCCTCCCTCCCCAATTCTCCATCCCACCAAAACCAACTCCTGAACAAGTCCAAGACACCAGGCCCACTCCCATCATTTTCTCAAAACAGACCCAACCAACATCAACTTCCTTTGCCCCAATATGGACGATGGACTTCAACACCGAACCAGGTGGCGGCGAACACCACCTCACCACCCTTGATGTCGGCCGGCGACCCCTTCTCTGACTCCGACGATGGCGCCGGCCACCCTCAGACGGGAAGAGCTCTACCTCACGCAAGCTCCTCTGCCGCCCCGTCGATGGCCACCTCGTCGGATTCCTCCCAGCTCGGCCTAGCTATTTCTTCCGCAGAGCTCGAGCAACTCACATCGACCATCTCCAACTCCAGCAAGGACACATCCTCCTAGCTTTCGGCAGGATTATTAGGCCGGGCTCCCTCCCCAACATTCCCCTCCCCGCCGAAAATGAAGCAGCCGCCAAGGGGCACCGCCATCCAAGGACCGAGCCCAACCACCTCCCCTCCCCAGCTGGCGAACCAGTGCCCCCGACCAACCGGAGCATGCTCCTTTCGAGATGCGGTTTCTGGAACATCCACAGTTAAACCGGTCCACCAGAGACTGATGTTGGAGTCCTTTCGGGGCAAACAGAGCAGAACCGTCACTCGCTCCGAGGAGGGCAGGTGCAAGGTAAGTTTTCTTGAGCCCATTGTTATTTCCCTAGCTGGGTCGTTTGATAATGCACTCATATTGAAGTTTTCTTTTAATGTCCCTTCCCTCCGGGATTTATCTGTCGGTATGGTCAAATTGGGTTTCAAGGGTAGAGTGTCCCCAAAGTTCTTTAATTATAACCATTATGTACTCTATTTTGAGCTGAAAGAGGACTACAATTCGGTTTGGATTAAGACGCATCTCAATTTATTTGGATGCCCTGGCCGGGTGTTCAAATATACCCCGAATTTCTCTTTCGTTGAGGAATCCCCCATCGTCCCGGTGTGGTGCTGCCTTTCAGGCTTTCTTCCACATCTTTTCGACCCTTCTGCCCTCTTTTCGATTGTCAGCTGCATTGGCAACCCCATTGAGACTGATGCCGCTACGGCTAACCG